CCCTAAAATAAATCTCTTTTTCTCATATTCTCATCTGTATACATACATCCTATTTGTTCTATTTCTCTGGAGAACAATGACCAATACACATACTAGCTAATTCCATTTATATTATGTTCTTTAAATGACAAAATTATAGGAATGGAGGAAAGATTTGTGGTTGCCACGTTGGGAGTCAGCAAGAGTAAGAGGGAAGTAGGTGTGGCCATATAAGGGCAACATGAGGGATCCTTGTGGCAATGGGAATGTTCTGTATCTTGACTACAGATGTGAATATCCTGTGATATTATACTGTAGTTTTACAGGATGTTACATTGGGGGAAATTGGGTAAAGGGTATATGGGAATTCTGTGTTACTTCTTACAATTACACGTGAAACTAAAATTATTTTAAAAAGTTTACCTTTGAAAAAGTAAAAATATATGTATTTTGATTATTTTATTGCAATCCTCCTTGAGGTCTGGGAGATGAGCTTAGATGATCACTCAGATGAATAAAGCATCCAGCACCTGTAACATTAAATAACGTCCATTCTCCCAATTTAACAAGCCAGAAATCTATCTTCCATTCTAAGTTTTCTCTCTCCCAAAACAATTAGGAAAAAGTCCATCTTCATTGCCAAAATATATCTTGAATTTGTTACTTCTCCTTCCCTGCTACCACCATTATTTTTGGTGGTCAATAGCAAGTATGAACTGTTGTAAGAGCCTTGCAATTAATTATGCCTCTCCTCTTTCATGGGTGCCCCCATCCAATCCACCCCTAACTCAACAGCATGAGTAATCTTAAAACATATAATAGATCGTATCACTTCCATGCATAATCCCCTCCACGGAGTTCCCATTGCCCTTGGCATGAATCTAAGTTGATTCCCATGGCTCTTCCAGGTCCTGAGTATAGTGGCTATTTCCCCAATAGCATCCCTTGCCACTTTCTCTTGCTCCCTTGCTTTAACCCAACTTCTCTTATTCTTCAACCAAAGATTTTCCCTGCCTCAAGTTTGGCACATACTTCCCCCCTCCACCCCTACTGCCCATTCTTCAGGTATCAAGGAAAAAGACAAGTCTTCAAAGAACATTTTTCTGAACATGTTTTTCTAGAGTTTTCAACATGTTTTCAACACACCCTGTTGGTCTCTTCCTCAGTACGCATTTTGTTTCTTTTATAGAATGTAAGCCCCATAAGAGCAGAGACCTATCTGTTCCATTCCCTGTCATAACTGATGCCTAGAAAAATGCAGTGCAAATACTGCATTTGTTAAATGTTACATCAATAAACGTCCAATGCCAGCTTTAAACTCCTCTTCCCCCATTGCAAGAAAGCACGCGGCAACTCTTCTTGAACTTCCTTCATTTATTAAATAAATACTTACTGGGTGCCTACTATGCACCAGGCACTCTCACAGGCACGGGAACGAACAAAATGAGCAAGGTCTCCACATTCATGGGACTTAGATATGGTGGGGAAAGTGGAACATAATAAATAATAGACAAGTAAATAATACAATAAAATTTAATTAAAATAATTTTAATATTTAAATAATTAAATCTTTTGTTATTATTAATACAATAATGTTACAGATAATAATTATATCATTATAATTATTATTCATTGATTATTTAAATATTTAATGTTTTAATTATAAAATATTAGTAAACAAAATTTCAAGCACAAGTGCTATGAAGAAAATAAAGCAGAGTAACAGGATTGAGAATGAGTTGGAAGGGGTAGGTGATGTCCACATTAAGAAGCCTGGTTAGAGAGTCTGAGCTGTCCTCTGAATGCAGAGGTGCCAGCCACATACAGATCTGGGACAGACAGCTCTAGGCAGAGGCCCATGGGGTACAAAGGTGCTGGGCCTGGAACATGTTAAACAAGTCTGAGGCCAGTGTAGCTGAGAAGAGGAGGAGAGGAGCGGGACAGAGGTCTCAGCATCAACGAATGAATGTTACACCAAATCTGCCTCTCCCGAAACAGTAAAGAATGTAGGTTTCCTTCTGAGGGTAACTGGGAATCCTCTGGATAGTTTTAAGCAAAAGGGGTTATGGTCTGGTTTAATTTTTTAAAATCATTGTTGGCTCTTCTGTCAAAAGGGGCTGTAGGGTAGGAATGGGGCTAGGGAGGCCAGGTGGTTAAGTCAGGACAGATGCTGGTCGCTTGGAGGAGAGAGTACCTAGAGAGGGTGAGAAGAGGCAAGCTATGAGGGCAAATCTCACTCCGAAATCTTAAAATACACTGGACTTCCTCGGGGACAAGGAATTTCCAGTACTCCCTTGCGCTCCTACTTGGCCCAGTTTGAACTTATTTGATTTGGTTTCCCCGAGATGCCTTTGCATTACCTGCCCCAACGAGAGAGCATGCTGGGATTGCTGGTTTTCTTTCTTCCCTTTTATAGAAAGAAGCTTACGTCTGGCGTCACAGAAAAGAAGAAGAAGAATGAAAAAAGAAGGGGCTCTTTTCTATACTTGGAAACTCTCACCACCTAAAGCTATTGCTATCTATTAGGAAGATTAAATTAATCAAGATATAATCAAAATCTGACCTAACGGGTTTACGGTGTGAAGCCTCAAGAACAACCACACAGAACCGGTTTCACCCCACCCAGCCCAGATCTCCTGGTGATTCTGGGCATGGAAGCACCTCTCTGAGCGGCCCCCAGCAAGAGCAAAACACAAAAACCTGACTTTATCACAGCCAGGGAAACACGAAGATGCCTCCGTGCAATCGGACCCGCAGCTCCTCCGGGCGCACGGCCAACTCTCCTGAGAGGCCGAAATGAAATTGCAGTCCTCCCAGGGCTCAAATCCACCGACGCAATCACCGCAGCTGACTCCGTCCACCCCCACCCCGACAGCTTAAGCCCGTCCCTTCCTTGGTGGTGCCGAGATTACTCATTCGCGGGCAGGAGCAGAACGAGGGAGGACTGGCGAAACCAGAGGAAGCTGGTCTGGGGGCTCAAGGTCCGGCGTCTGTCCCGGTCAGCGACAGCGCCCTCCCCGAGCGGCGGCGGGCAGCTCCCAGCACGCACGCGCAGCCCCAACCCGGAGCGAGAAGTTAAAGGCTCACCGGACCCCACGCCGCATTCAAGCCCAATTCTGTCTCTCAAAAGTAAGATTCAAAAAACAAGGTTGGCACAAATCAGAAGGTAACTCATTTTTCACAGCCGCCCAAAGACTCTTTCTTGCAGTGTCAGTGGATGGCAGTCCTTCCAGGGCTGGGATTTTCCGTCACTGGGAAATGATTGCTAAGAAATCCTCTCCTCATTGCGGACGCTCTTGAGAAGGGGCTTGCGCATCACCAGCCGAAACTGGCGCCCAGAGCCAGGCGCTGGCTGTGCACTAATGCCAGTGTGGGCTAACTGGGCTAACTTTGCTCCCCAAAGCTTAGCTCTACAACGGATGTTGATGAATGAGTTAATCCATGTAAAATGCTGAGAGCAGCACCTGGCAACAAGCAACACCTCAGTAAAGATTAACTATCACTAATAGTATTCATTAGTGTTTTTCTACTGAGAAAAAAAAAAAAACCACAACCCTCTATTGAGTGTTTGTGATTCCGTTTGTGTGTTCTTATACATTATGAACTCCTAAGTGTCTTATTTATCTCATGTATCTCAGAGCCTGGGACTTGTGCTGGGCTCAAGTTTGTGGTTTGAGCTGAATTATTTACTCAGCTGGGTTGCTCCACGGAGGTAATAGAAATGAAAGGGCCGTGGGGAAATAAAAGACACATGAAATCAGAGTCTCCTTCACCTCTTCACTTTGTCATAAAAACAAAAACAAAAAACCTCTTCACTTTTTGTCACTGTCTGCTTCGTAACATCCCTGGTTTGGGGGGCTGTTAAGTATCTCCTCTGCTGGGAACTGGTTCCACCTAAGCCTCAGGGGAACCAGTGATAATAGTCACCAAACACAGTTCAAGCTCAACAAATTTTGATACTGTCTGGGCTCCCACAGGGACTGAACATTATAGAGGAGACACAGAAGGATACAGACTTGGGGTGCCCGGAGTGGCTCAGTCGGTTAAGCCTCTGCCTTTGGCTCAGGTCATGATCCCAGAATCCTGGGATCCACTTACACATCCCCACATCGGGGTCCCTGCTCAGTGGAAAGTCTGCTAGTCCCCTGCTCTCTGCCCTCCCCCCAGCTCGGGCTCTCTCTCGCTTGCTCTCTCTTAAAAAATAAATAAATCTTAAAAAAAAAAAAAAAGAAGAACAAGAAAGGCACAGACTTAAGCCAAATGAGCAGATACATTTGAGAACTCTACACTCCAACAAGCACCTCTCAACATACACTAAACCAATAATAATAATAGCAAAAACAATAACAACCAACATTTTGCTGGGCACTTATTATGCACTAGGCTAACCACTTTCCTATCATATTTAATCCATACAGCAAAACGAAGTGTGTTCTGTTATTTTCATTTTATTTAGTGAAAAAAACCAAGGCACAGAAAAGTCACTGGGAGCCAATTGCTTAGGGTAATACCACCAGCAAAATTTTGAGATTCAAACCCAAGTTCATGGCTCTCCAAAGCTCATTCGGGTAAACCACTCAAGCCTACAATGGCCTCTGGCCATGCAGCCCAGCTCTACAGCATAAACACCACAGTACTGGTTCTCTGCGACAAGAGTGCAGCGCTTCTCCCATGTCCCTCGTCTTTGTCACCCCCACAACATGAAATGTCAACCAGCATCTCATCTTATACAAAAGGCCACAAAGATTTTCTTTTTTCACCTGTCCCCGGTTACTGCCATACTCAACATGTGTTACAGTGTGACCGTCTCTGGGTTGTGACTTAACACCTGAGGGACCTGCTCCCATTTTCTTTTGCTGGTGCACAAGCATCGAAGCCACAAGTCACTAAGGAAAAACATTTATTGATTAGATTCTCCTCAACATTCAGCCTCTGCTGAAATTAGATTTGGACTTTAAAGGTAATGACCAGCCTGCTTCCTTGCCTTGCTCCTCCTCCTCTAATGTATAACTAGTAGAAAGCCGGAGAAAGGCAGGTGCTGGCCAGTTGCATGGGCCACACTCACCCCAGGACTTGGAATTAAGAGGAGGACTCTCAACCCATAAAATGACAGAAGATAAGGTAAAGCAGCATTATGTTCATTTTAAATTGGCCTGAGGAAATGAACAGGGGGATTTGTTCAATGGTGACCATAGGGAGGATTTGGGGGATGTTGGGTATAGCGACCACAGGTTGAAGTTACTTCTCTCGGCCAACTGATAGTTCATTCAGCTGCTAAAACATATAGAATATTCAGGATTTTATATATCTATTCAGAATTTTAAGGATATTTACTCTGTTTTCTGAACAGTCTGTATAACTCTCTCTGAAGAAAATTCTGCATAACCATATTACTGAATAAATGTGCAAAAAAAGGGCAGATTAACCTGAATCTAACTAATTATGAAACCTGGTCTGAAATTTTTAAAAATGACAATGAATGAAAAACAAGAGATAGAAGGACTGTTCTAGATAAAAGGAGACTAAGAACTAACAACCAAGTGCAAAAAGTGATCTCAGATCAGGAAAGAAGAAAACAGTGTAAGGGACAATATGGGGACAGTTGGGAAATTTTTAAAATGGGCTGTTACATTAGATAATATTAGTATAGCTATTACATTCTTGGATGTGATGATGGTATTGCAATTATGTGGGAGAATGTCTTCATTCTTAATGAGTATGTGCTCAAGTATTTAGGAATGAAGTGACACTAATATCTGCAACTGATTTTCAAATAATTCCAACCACACTACATACATACCTGTGCATTCCCACACATACACAGTGAAAGTTAACCAGATGTAAATGTCAACCATTCCCGAACACAAGTTATGAAGTGTTCATTGCCCTACTTTTTCAGCTTCTCTGCAGATATGATACTTTCCAAAATAAAAACTTAAAAAATGAAAAGGTCATAGTGCTGTCGTTCCCTTGTAAGTTTTCCCTAACCAAACACGCCCACCCCTTCACACAATCACACGAGTAGGTAAATCTGTGGCCCTGTTTGGAGTAGGATATCTGAAGTTCTGATCTGTTGTAACTTACTCTGCCGAGCATTTCAAGTGAGTAAGTGACAAGGCTAGGACAACAGACTTTGTGCTTTGCCAGGTTTGGATTTCGAGTATGCTGGTGCTGCTTAATTATTGTGAGACCAAAGTTTATTTAACTGAGCTTGGGTTTTCTATATTGTGACAAAATAAGAACATATGGGGATATAATAAGAGGATATAAGATAGGCAATGCAGGGAGTCTAATAGTTCTTTATAGTCTGGGAATATACAAATGAGCTAATATTTGAGAGACACAGCTGACAAACATTTTAATGTTAATAGTTAAGTATTTATATGATGTATTTTAAAAATAGGGCTTCAAGATTTCCTATTATATCCAAGGATAAAGCTAATGTAGTTAGCATTTTAAAGATGATACAAACATAAATATTAAGTTAGTAACTATACAGATAGTATATAGATTTGATGAAAATCATTAAGGTAGTGTTCAAATAACTAAAGTATATAAGATATTGCAAAAGGGAAGGTAATGTGCTTACCACAGTGTCTGATACACTGTGAATGCTCAAGCTTCATTTTGAACTACCACTAAATTCCCTTTAGAAATTGTTGTAGGACTTTTCTTGAGAACCAAGGACCTGCCTAACAATGGAAGCCAGAAATAATGAGAATTGATGTAAAGCACGATGTTTCAGCTTTGTAAATCTGCCCAGACTTTGAAAGAAGTGGGGTAAGCATGGAACTGAGGGTTAAGTGACCTGAGTTCTCACACTGAATATGTCCAATAATGCACGGTATAACTCAGACAAAGGATCTGAATTCAGTTTCTTCAAGTGAAAAATGAAGAAATTAGACTAGAATCCTCTGTTCTCTAAGGTCCCTTTCAGCATGAAAATTCTATGGCTTGAGAGGCCCCTGGAGTCTCCCAAAGTTGGGTGCTCCCAAAGTTGGGTGCAAGATCACCTTTAGGTTGGCATTTGGAGCTATGGAGTTTAGAGGAAAGACATCAGCTTCTCCTCCCTACTTAGTCTGTAGCTCCTGAAAATCTGCTTTTTTGATTAGAAATAGGAGTTTTAAGAATACCGGCTCTGGGTTCAAACGCTAGAATATCTGTTACCTACTAGCTGTATGGTATTGAGCATATCACTCCGTCTTCTATAAGCCCTGGTTTCCTCACCTGCAAAATGGGGATAATTTCTTTTACTTTGTAGTATTGTTGTGAAGATTATTGGTGAGGTATGAAAAGCTGACAGGTAGTTGGTTGACAAGAGAGATAAATGATATGCTAATGTGATTAAAGATGCAATAGTTTATTAGCCCTTTCATTATAGGAAGACCACACCGTGTATCTTATTTAATCTTTACTATAATCCCATGCAATAACAACCCACTTGCCCAATCTGTGTACTCCCACATTTATCCTGTGGCATGTCTTTCATTAGATGTGGAACCTAGTTTCTCTAACTTAAAATTGTTAAGCTCTAAGCAAAGGTGGTCTTGCTAAGAGTCAGGCTTTATATCTGGTAGCCTATGAAGAGGTGAGAGACAAAGCTTGAAGATCTTCAGCCACTTTGTTAGGTTTGTGGCTTTGGACAAGTTCCTTACCCTTTGTGTACTGATTTTTCCATATGTGACGTAATAACAGTAACTACTACTTACAGAGTTGTTGAAAGAACAAGCAAACCATTTAGAATCCAGAGCCTAGACAAAGTAAGATCTTAAGTTCTCACTGTTTTCATCAGCTCCCATGTACATAACCTTGAGTCAACTTCTTAGACATTAAATTAATGAGCAGAACTGATGGGCTCATTCAGACTTAGCAGTCTTCAGAAATTTCTCCTCTCAAAAACAAAACTTTTCTGTCCAAGCCTAGTACCAAGACACATAGAAGATTGACTATAAATGTTACCTCTTTCCCTTCATAAGAGAAAAAGAAAAGATGGAAAGCAAAGAGCCAGTTTAAGGTAAGGTTCAGAGAGGGAAAATAAACCTGAAATAAAACAGAAAGAAAGAGAGAAAGAGAGGGAGAGAGGGAGGAAGGAAGGAAGGAAGGAAGGAAGGAAGGAAGGAAGGAAGGAGAGAGGGAAGAAGGAAAGATACAAAGTTTCAGAGACTTCTATATTTGGGATTATCACTTCAGTTCAGAATTCAAGTAACCTTCTTAAAATTGATAACGTTGTTCCTTACCTGACCAACTAGGGTAAAATTTCTATCTTAGAAATTAAAGTGGGGAAACTGCAGCCCCCTCCCTGCCCCAGGATGGCAAGACCAAATCCAACTCTGAAAAAGAAGCCAGGAAGACCATAGGACGAGAACTCTAAGATTTCTAAACATTTAAAAACTCTATTTCCTTCATAGTTCCTTTTTTTCATTATTCCTATGAGAACTTGGTCTTAGGGGCAGCCCCAGAATTGCTACAGTAATGTCTTAGAACAACTTGATTAGAAATTAATGAGAAAGGAGCTCCAAAGAACTTCAGTCTTTGAAAATTAAATTTCATTTTTATCAAAGTAATATAGGAGCAGCTAACACTGTTGTGACTTAGTGTGTGTATCTGGAGAGGCAGGGGAGGGCCAATGAAGCTTATGGGGGAACCAACTCTGCTATGGCCACCACCTTCACCCCTAACTTCCATTTCCATAGCACCCCTGCTCACCATTGGCATGGTGACTAGTTGGATTGTTAAAATAAGGAAGGAAAGAACTATATGATTGTCTGGTGGGGGCAGAAGGAGAGAGCCAGCAGAGAGCAGAAGCCAAGGGATGGAGTGGGAAGGGCAGTCACTAAGACACCAAGTGCTTGGACATTCTGCTACAGGAAGAAAAGGAGATGCAGGGATGAAACCGGGTAAGTATATCATGGCTTGGTAGTGGGAAGGCCATGACGATCTTCTTCAACTGAGTTACAGATGAGCTGTTGAGTAGATTTTTCCTTTTTGTATTTTTGTACAGAAACATCACAAACGTTTTTTGTGGGTAGATGAGGAACAAGGGGTTTGTGTGGTGGGTAGTGGCAAAATGCACTTGAAACTGGTGGGTGTTGGTGATTTGGTTTCAGCATTACACTTGACAAATTCTATGAATATGTGCTCTCTTAGATTTTTTTTTATTTAGAAAGATTATGATCCTAGATATTTAGATGTGCTTGACTTTTGAATGTCTATTTCTGACCATTGAGAAATGCAAAATAACCGATTAGTTAAAAGCATATCTCCTGGATCTAAATCATTATTGTACAAGTTACTGGCTGTGAGACCAAAATCTAGTTTAGTTATCTATAAAATAGGGATACTGATGACGCTGTCATGAGAAGTGTCCATTACCTGGTCTTCAGAATGTGTAACTATGTTACTTTAAAAGGCAAAAGGGACTTTACAAATGTCATTAAGATGATGGACCTTGAGATGGGAAGATTAACCTAGATTACCCAGATAGGCCAAATCTAATACCATAAATTCTTCAAAGGGAAGAACTTTTCCCGCTGTAGTCCGGATTAGAGAGACGCAATGTGAGGAACTGACTGGCCCATTTCTGGCTATGAAGATAAAGAAAGGGTACCACTATCCAAGGAATGTGGTGGCCTCTAAAGCTGGGATTGGCCCTCACTTTACAGTTAGCACAAAAACACAGATCCTGGTCCTCCAGCCATGAGAAACAGAATTGTACCATCAACGCAAATTTTCCCCAACAGCCTCCAGAAGGAACACAGCCTGCCAACATCTCAATTTTAGTGTGGTGAGACTTGTATCAGACTTCTCACCTACAAGAACTGTGAGATAACAAACTTGTGTCATATGTTATAGCTGCAAGAGAGAACTGATACAGTTAAAAGAGATGATCACATAGAGCAATGAATAGCCAAACAGTAGACAGAAATATTCAGTATTACGCCTTGAAGTTGTGTTTGCATTGCACCTAATATCAGATTGTCTAGACTGTAGTGATGAGACTAACAGGGAAGTGGGTGAAAGTCTTAACCAAGTGCTTCCCGGTCCCCTCACTGCTGCTAATGGTTACTTCCTACAAATAAAATGAAAGGATAAAATCGCCCATCCTTGGAAACAGCTCAAGGGGAAAAAGGACTCGAGGAGAAACCACCAAGTAAATGGAATACATTTTAGCTGTGGTTGCCTGAGGCTCTAGGTATTAGATATCTAGTCACACATTAAAGGATAATTCAAAATCTCTGGTAATCCCATACCATGTGGCATATTGTGTGTGTGTGTGTGTGTGTGTGTGTGTGTACGCGCAGGTACATTTTATAGTTAACATACTTTGAATTTATTTGTAATTATTTTATTATGTATATGCATAATGACATATCTCAATATATAATGTATATTATATGAAATATATATGCTTCTTCCAGGATGTATATGGATATATGATATATATGCTTCTTTTAGGATAATATAATATCATATCTTTGGAGAAAGTTTTAAGTCCTTTCAGGAAGAAAGGTGCTGGGAAGAAAAGCCTACAGTCGTGCCACCTGAAATTAATTCTGAATTACTGGAAAAAGATAGAACAAACCTACAGATTCCCAATTCTCACCGCAGAGATTCCAATCCAGTCATAGGTCTGGGGTGAATCCCAGGAAGCTACACCTGTAACGAGCTCTCTAATGAGGATCTGGTTTTAGAACCCCTAGATTCCGTAACTTCAAGGGTCTCAGGCTGGTTCTGTGATTTGTTGATGATGTGAAATTTCTGATCTCTAGCTTTATTATGGAATGAGGGGACTTGGTTAATAACCTACTTTTCATGCTGGAGTAGGGATTTACAATCATTCCCCCCTACTTAGAGAAAAACTGAAGATCCTATAGGAAAAGTGGTCTGGGTCACATACTCCCTAAACATCAGAGTGAGAACTAGAATTCATGTTGGTATGACTCACTCATCTGTTCAATGAAGTTTCTACAATATCCCATGTTATTTATTTAAATTTAAATTATGTAATTATGCAGGAAATCATTTCTTTATAAAATGCCTGACAATATAAATAAAAGAAAAAATACCCATTTATCCCCATTCTTTAGTCTCACATTCCTCCTCAATGGTCATCTTTTTGTTATTTTTTCAAGAAAATATTCTGACTTACATGCAACATGCACAAATCAAAGAATACTCAGGTTTAAGCCTTCTTAAAAAAGTAATAAGATTACACAGCTTCCTCTGTCAATAAGTCAGTACAAAATGATTGCATTGCTCTTTTTAGCTGCAACATAACATGTTGTATGTATCATGATGTATTTGAATCTATCTGGGCATTTTCCATTGAATGACATTTTGGTTCTTTCTACAATTTTTACTATCTCACACACACACACACACACACACACAATGCTGCATCAAATATCCTGATATGAGACTCCATATGGATGATATGATTTCTATAAGAAGGTTAGACATGTAATTATGAGTTGAAGGGAATGAATGTTCTATCCCTTTCTACACTGAGTTTTGTAGCTACATGAAGTTGGAGAGAAAATAACATCCTTTAATCCATAACTCTAGGTTCAACTAGCTGCAAATCTTAGAAATTATTCTCACCAGGATATTGATGTGGTCATGATAAAGCCTGGCTGATGCCTCTTGTATGAGATTTGAGGTGTTTTTGTACCATAGCAATGCCCAGGACACCTAGATCTTTGTTACTGGTATCTTTTTCTCTCTCCAAATGATATAAATTGACTGGTTTTATCACAGTGGTTTCCTTTGGTCGGTGGCAATTCTAGTCTTCAGTTCTGATTTTTAATCTTATATATATATATGTAAGGAAAAGGATGTTTGGTTCCTCTCTTAGGAAAAATTGCCCCAAACTTTTCTCAGCTTTATGTAGGGCCTTTGATGAATGCCTCTCACATTCCTGTATGAATGACCCCTGTTGGGAGCATAGGGCACACTGTGAATGAGTACCAGGAGCAAGAACAAGACTGTGGAGCCTGCCAGAAGTCCAAGCTGCAGACTGACAGGACGGTAGGTAATGGAAATTGCCTTGTGTTTCCCAGCCTTGTGTTTCATTCCCCACAGATCACCGGGACCTTGGTTTTCACTGTCTTCACTGCTGTACTGGGTTCCTTCCAGTTTGGTTATGACATTGGTGTGATCAATGCACCTCAAGAGGCAAGTGAAATGTGTTCAATTCAAATCTCTTTTTTGGCAATTTCTGTCAGTGACTGAAGGATCTGTGTTCCTCATACACAGAGATAAAGTGTACCTACGTGGGAAATATAGGGCAGTCCCAGTATTTGTCAGGCACCATGTGCGTGGTTTCAAAGCTGATAACTTGGCCTTGACTCTTCAATAACCCTCACAAAAAAAGAAAGGGCAATAACCGATTCTTGATCTCTGACTCTGCTGTTGCTGAGCTCACAGAAAACTCCAGCCGGAATACCACGTGCCTACAGATGTTGTTTTGAAAAACTTAAGAGCTTATTGCAGACTTTATTCAGAGCTCCCAGCCATATATGAGTAAAAACATGAATGAAAAATGCTGGGGAATAGGAGGAGGCAATACAAGGATATATTTCACTTTATGCACAAACTTTTACTAGGCACCAGCTCACTGTGCATCAGGTGCTTTAACATATGTTCTCCCTAGTCTAACCTCCAAAAACCTTACCCTAATTGTAAGCCAGATGAAAGACTTCAGGAGCCCTAACACTAAAAAAGTTCCTATCCTTCCCCCTAATTCTGTCTCTCCTAGCTGGTTCAAAGTAAAATAATATATAACTGCTAAGTAATAGTCAAGAAGTCCAACAAAATTTGGATTTCTCCACGGTAACTATTTGGATGGATGTTTTTTAAAATATTGCATAATTTCTGTCCTTTGTCTCATTTATTTTGTGCATCCCTACTCTGGTACCCAATGAATAAACAGGAGAAGGATGTTATTTTTCTCAGCTCCCACAGCCTGTAAGTGGGGGAACCAAGACTTCATTCCCTTTGCTCTAAGGCTGTCAGGTCATTTAGGGCAGGATAGATGTCTTCTTCCCCTTCCTGTCACCAGCGCCAAGCACAATGATTAGCATAAAGGAGGTGTTCAATACAGTGTTTAGTGAGGAAAGAGAGAGAGAGAGGAGAGAAGCCGTGGGGGTGGGGGAGCGGTGTAAAATGAAGGTACAAGCATTTGTTGGGTGCCCTCTATGAATATATCATATTTCATCTGCTTCCCTTACACTGTTGGACTCCAAGGAAAATGTGTATTGACCACAGTCTATCACCTGAAAGTGTTGCTCCTTGGGCTCTGGATGCCACATATTATCACGAGTGTGGTGGTCTTTCCAAGGTTGAGAGAGTTCGATAACAATGCTGGGGGTCACAGCTTTTTTTTTGTGGGTGATGACAACATGTGCCAATTTAGCAGCCTTCTTGAAATTTGGTTCAGCTTCACCGTAATTTAGAATTAGTAGAGCCTCTTTTTGGAAGACCTTTTCACATCCTATTTAAACATCTTCTCCAGGGAAAGAGAAGGAAAATTAGTCAAGCCAGACTTGAAAATAGGGATTCCCCCACTGGCATGAGGCTTGATGTCCTTTCTAGAGCCCCTCTTTCTGTGTTTAACAAGCCCCTTAAACATCATTCTAGAAGAATAGTTGTTCAGCTTCATTTGTGTTTGCTAGCGGGACGACACGTGGCACTATTTTAGGGTTATTTTAAAATCACACCTTTTTATGATTGTGAAAACTACACATACCTGTTATAGAAAGTATTTGGAACAAATCACCTATACTTATTCTACCGCACAGAACGAACAGATGGGAACATTTCAGATATTTCTTTATAGCTTTTTTTCTGTACATACTATCCATGTAGCGTGGTCTGCTAATGAGGCAAATGTCTTGGTCAGACTTCTTTTATCGTAAGACAATATCAATTCCCTTTCCTCACTCAGCTGATTTTACCACTTAGGGCTTTGCCCTGACTGGCAGCCTAGAGCAGCTACATTCCAGGTCCTTCTCAGAGGTCCTCTCATGCCACTGAATAGCGACCAGATCAGCACTGAGAGGAAGAACAAGGAAAGAAGCCCAAAGGCTGTGACTTTACTCAATTATACTTGGTAGGACGTTTACCTCTACTGAAACATGGGATAAACTACGGCTCTGTGAAACTTAGTTTTGAATGTTCATTCTATTACATACTGAAATCTGTGAGGACACAGAGGAAGAAACTCCTTCAGTATCAATCCCTCCGCAGGGGTCACTGAGTTGTTTTTTAACTTTGAAATTCATCAATATATGTGATTGATTTCCCCTACTTGTGCTGGCTGCTGGAAGTTTATTGGTAAATTTGTAGTATATTTCTAGCAAGGATGTAGCACCTAATGCTTATATTTGGTATACTAACTTTATTTTTGGCTTCATCTTGTCTTTAGTAATCTTTTTTCTTATAGCCATATGCTTCTATTAGAATATTTACATAAACCAATTTAAACCTTGCTGTGCAGAGGTAACACTGGTGTGAAAATGCACCTTTCTGTCTGCAGAATATTTTCAATTTTAATAACTGCCTGCATTTAAAACTTGGAAGAATTTTACATAAAAACCCAGATTTCTGGCTTCTTTTTTTTTTTTAAATTAGAGGTCATGCAATACTAGTCTCATATTTGCAGCTTCCTTCTTTAGGTGGGGCAAATGCTTTCTAGTGCTATAATCTTGCCCACTTTCTTTTATATTCTCAATAGTAGAGACAGTAGTTCAGTCTTCTAGTTATCAAGGTTCTCCTTCACTTACTTGTTCCTGCCTAGTTCCTGTGGGCACTGGAATTTGCAACCTCTGTTTTACAGAATATTGTCAACTATAAGTAAATCTGTCCATGATTTTGTGTATAAAACACACATAATTGGGATGACCCTTTTAAACAGCTAACAAACATTCTAAAGGGAGAAAAAAAGGTGTATAGAATATTTGAAATGTTGGAGCTATTTTTATTTTATTTCCTCAGGTAATAATATCCCATTATGGATACATTTTGGGTATTCCACTGGATGACCGAAAAGCTATCAACAACTATACTATCAACAGTACAAAGGAAATAACCACAGTCCCATACCTAGGGGATTCAATACCAACACCTTTGGCAGAGGAAGAGACTACAGCATCTACCAGCCTCATCACCATGCTCTGGTCCTTGTCTGTGTCTAGCTTTGCCGTTGGTGGAATGATTGCATCATTCTTTGGTGGGTGGCTAGGAGATCAGCTTGGAAGGTAGGCAAGTTTCATAAATAAGCATAAACATGGGAACTTGAGTATTTGGGGTTTCTAAGACTTTGTTTCATCTTCCGTTTTGTGGAATAGCTTTAGAGGTTTTTTTTGTTTTGTTTTGTTTTCGATTCATGACCTTATGAATTAGGTTTTAGCACAAATAATGGAGCAAGCAGTTGCCCTAGTCTGCTTAAATCATGGAGTCATTTATAGCAAAAGTGAGTTTGGTGTGTATTTCTACAGAAATGATTGGATTCTCTAAATTTGTTAGTTTCAAAACATAGTGGGGTGCCTGGATGGCTGTCAGTTGGGTGTCTGACTCTTGATTTTGGCTCGGTCATGATCTCAGGGTCCTGAGACTCAGCAAGCTCCCCCCACCCACCCATCAGGCTTTGCGTTCAATGAGGAGTCTGCTGGAGATACTCTTCCTCTCCCTTTGCCCCTCCCCCTGCTTGTGCTCCCTCTCTCTCTTTCTCAAATAAATAGATCTTTAAAAAACTAAAAAAAAAAAAACCATATTAAGAAACCACTACACAAATGGTTAACTCAGGAACTCAATGGCAGAGCCAAGAGTGAAATTTTTAACCAAGGAATCCATTGTTTGCTTCACCAAATCACTCCATTTCTCAGACATCATTTTTCATTTTCAAATTAGAATTTGGCATTTGGATCAGTCAAGTCCTAAGGTCAAATCAATATCCCCAATTCCAAATTGCCCAATATACTTGGCATGGACTTTTAGCTGCTGCTACTGGTTTTTCAAAGCCCCAATCAGAGATGAAGCAAGTAGTGTGTCCACTTCTTTGCTCTAATTTTTATCAAGTGTCTTGAATTAAAAATGTCAATAAAAAAAAGTCTCTGAAACTACCTTACACTTAAATTTCATTCACTTAGTCATGTGACGTACTAAACTGGGATTCCACCCCCTCACACAGAGAGAGGAAATAAAATGAGAAAATCACGTTTGTTTTTTAGATTTATTTTCTGTTTTGATGCCACCTTTTGTTTATTAATTATCCCTTCCTCTGATATAAAAATAAATATGGAAAATATGGAAAATTTAGAAAATGCAAAAACCTCTAAAGATGTAAATGATATAGGTAACTATTTTAGTAATTCTGGATTACAATCTAATTTTTAAAATCCCTACTTTATTATTTTTTCAAAAGACAAGATTTCATTTTTTTTTGTTATGTTACATTAGTCACCATACAGTACATCATTCATTTTTGATATAGTGTTCCAGGATTCATCATTTGTTTGTAACACCTCTAAATTATAATTTTATCTCTCATTAAAATTCTGATAATTTCCTCCTCTTGCACTGGAGAGTTTATATAATAAAACTATAAGAAGTTTTCTTCAACAATGAGTAGCACTGGGGCACCTGAGTGGCTCAGTCAGTTAAGCCTCTGCCTTTGGCTCAGGTCATGACCCAAGATCAGGATCCAGCCAAGCCCATATCAGGCTCCCTACTCAGGCAGGGAGTCTGCTTCTCCCTCTGCCCTTCACCTAGCTCTCATGTTCTCTCTCTCTCTCTCTCCAATAAATAAAATCTTTTAAAAAATGAGTAGTATAATAACCCAAGTTTTACTATTGTTCTTATTATTCTTGTTCTTATTATTCCTCTACCATAAAAGATAATAGTCAGTTTCTCACATTTTTATCAATTTGCTGGTACTTAGCTAAACTTAAAAATCAGAATCTACAAGTTACAGTGTCCATAAACTAATTATTTCTAAAATAAATTAAGCAAAGTTAAATTTTAAAATATGAATCAATCAATTCTTTTAGCAGCTACTAATGTTTTATACCTCTTTCCACCCCTGAAGAAAAAATTTAAGGGGTGCCTGGCTGGCTCATTGGTGGTGTCTGCGACTCTTGGTCTCAGGATCATGAGTTCAAGTCCCAAGGTGGGCATGAGGATAGATAGATAGATGGATAGACAGATGGAAGGAAGGAAGGAAGGAAGGAGGGAGGGAAGGAAGAAAGGAAGAGGCCCTTGTTCTCATCTTATTTAGAAATGAGATTTTTGACAGGTCCAGTGATGTACTAAAGTATTTAATTCATGTCCTCATGATGGAAATAGGATGCATACCCTCTCAAGTCTTAGAATTTAGCATTAACAATGGTTATACCCCTAAATAATGTCAAATGATCACTTATCAAATGACTTATGGTAAACTAAAACTGAAGCTTCTTCCAAGTCTCAGTAGAAAAATGATTCTCCATGAATAACAAGCACAAAATTAATAATTTTAACATCAAAATGAAGACAAAAGAGTTCAGTCTCTCCTATAAAACTATTTTTCTAGGAAGATTCACTAAGAAATGACATGATTTTTTTCTTACTGCCCAGGTCATTGCTCTATCAATTAAAAAGAAGTAAATAAAAACTTGTTTTTTCATTACTCCTTTAAAAAAAAGTATTTCCTTACAATAGTGTAGTAGGCAATAAATGTCTGTGGCCATTGTTTTATAGATTTGGCTTCTCAGGGTCAATTTTTCCAGAAGCTGTGCCCTTAAAATTTAATTACTATGATATGGTGGAGGAGATGATGGTCTGTGCAATCCACAGTACCGTAAGCAAAGGAAGGTAGACATAGCCTGCTTTTGAATGCACTTTCTTTTATATAAAAATGGAACTCACCAAAATCAAGTGTTTTAACCTTTGGTTTCAAAGAGATCAAGCCCCGGCTCTGACACTTAATAGTTGTGTGAAAATGAGCAAGTTACTTAGGTTCTCTAAGATGTTTCCCCAACCATCTAGAATGTAGGAAAAAATAGTACCTAACTCATGGGATTATTGTGAGTTTACATGAGAGCACAGATAGAGGATTTACCACAATGCCTGGTACAAAGTAAGCAGGCACTGAATGTAGCCTTACTTTGATGCTGATGGTGATACTGATGCTGATGCTGATGACGAAGACAATTTTGATGACAGTGTTAAACCCTGTGCTAACAGGAGTACTTAGAGCAAAATTTGAAGAAATACACTTAGAAATGTATTTCTTTTTCCCTGATTTAGTGATTTCATGTATTTTTGAATTATTTATTCTTGTCCATTTCTCATGTCTGAGCAGAAGTTAAAATCCTTTAGTTTACAAAGTGCTTCAGCATCCATTAGCTGGTAAGGAAGAGGGACTTTAGAGCAACCTGGCATCAAATATACTTTCAGGCTATCTCTTTTAAGAGTTTTTCTCCCTAACAGAATATATTCCCTAACAGAATATATACTACTAGCGAGCTAGTAACAATTTCTTAAAGTTACTGAATTTATTTGCTCTCTGTCCTTGAGTAGAGAAAAGGCACTTCACAGAGAAATAGCCCTTTTTCTGCTCTGCAGCTCTGAAACTGGCCAGCTCTAAAACACTGTTTCCCCTCCTTTTGAGTAGTTGACATTCTCCATATGTTGGTTTTCTAGTACTGCTCTAATGAGTTACCATAAACAGTGGCTGAAACAACAGGTATTGCCTAAGAGTTTTCGAGGTCAGAAGCTCAAATTCAGTTTCATTTGCCTGAAGCCAAGGTGTCAGCAGGGCTGGTTCCTGCTGCAGCTTCTGAGAAGAACCCATTTCCAGCTTCTTTTTTACTGGCTGTTTTCCAGCTTCCAGTGGTCACCATATGCTTGGCTTGTGGACCTTATTCAATCTGTAAAACACAATACTCCAATCATACTTCTGACATTACATTATCTTCTCCTCTGCCCTCCTCTTATAAGAATACTTGTGATTCCATCATTGGATGGATAATCCAAGATAATCTCTTTACCTCAATACCATTAATTTGATCACATCTGCAAAAACCTTTTTATTATATAGGGCAATATATTCCCAGAGTCTGAGGACTAGGATGTGGACTCTTAGGGGATATTATTAAGCCTATCATATTTGTTGGGTAATCTTTGTAGTATAAGACACATAATTTTACTCTCCAGAAAAAAAAAAAAATCTGTCTGGTATTAAAGATACGCTTAGAAAAAGCTCTGCTATTTAAGTTTGAAACATTGACACAGAATATTAAAAGATCCTTACACTTCTTTGTGGCACAAATACTTCTACACCTGTCCATTCAAATTCTTTTATTGGCCTTATCATCATCATTAAACTTTTTAAGTTATTTTTTATTAACATATATTAAACTTTTAAAATTATTTTTTATTAACATATAATGTATTATTTGCCCCAGGGGTACAGGTCTGTGAATCATCAGGCTTACACATTTCATGGCACTCACCATAGCACATACCCTCCCCAATGTCCATAACCTGCCACCCTATCCCTACTCCCCACCCCCCAGCAACCCTCAGTTTGTTTTGTGAGATTAAGAGTCTCTTATGGTTTGTCTCCCTCCTGATCCCATCTTGTTTCATTTTTTCTTTCATCTATTGAATTTTAAAGAAGGTTTTTGTGGCCCACTTTCCCACTGAATAGGAATAAAAGTATCGGATATCTCCAAATATTGTTAATTTTCACATGATCAATTTTGAAAATGATGTTTTTGTTGCTACTGTCAGCTTTATTACATATTTTACGTTGGCTGACATTAATTTATAGGTTCTGGAAATATGACACACAATGTTAAAAAAAGAATAATTTTAACTCTCTTTGATAAGACTTAAAGTAAAAGAATATTTTAATTTACTTCCAAACAACTCATATTAAAAGAAATTTAACTTTGGAAGCTCTTTACATCATCTACATCAGCTAAAATCCTGTGTCATAAAGAAAGAAAGAAAGAAAGAAAGAAAGAAAGAAAGAAAGGGAAGGAGGGAGGAAGATGAGGAAAGGAAGGAAGGGAGGAAGAAAGAAGGAGGGAAGGTGAAAATAAGAGAAATGAAAAGACAAGAGAAGGAAGAAAGAGGGGAAAGAAAGAGGATGTCATAGGTTGCAACTACAGTGTTGAATGTAGCTATCACCAGGCAATTATCACTTAAAACAATCAACTTGTAGAAAACTTAATTAGTTAACTGTTTGAAAAAGTTTCAGAAGGGTTATCTCAAATCAAAACAGTCATCAGTACAGTTGAATCATCTCTGTTAAAATGTGGAGATCACATGCATGAAATCCGGATTTTCTCATTATAAACATTATTTACTGGTAAAGCTTTAGTCCACAGATAAGTCAAACTAGCAATTATGGTTTAAAATTCCCCAGCTAACTTTCTCAGCAAAATTAAAATAACTGCTCTTAAGTAAATATCTTAGCATACTCTGAGAGCAAATAATTTTATCAAGTTTTGATGGTGAATTTGTAATCCTTGCTTTTTAAACTTTCAGAATCAAAGCCATGTTGGTAGCAAACATTCTCTCATTAGTTGGAGCTCTCCTGATGGGGTTTTCAAAACTGGGACCATCTCACATTCTTATAATTTCAGGAAGAAGCATATCAGGACTCTACTGTGGTAAGTCATGCACGCATGCACACACGCACACACACACATCTGGAAATTATTTTAAAGGCAGATTGGTAATACGCAGGGAAGTTTTTGAGCCAGAGATGGCATCACAAAAGGGAAAGGCAATAGCATAAAATTGAAGTCCTGACTCAGGGAGGTTTGCGACCAGTAAGTGGGAGTTATGAAACGATCTTCTTGCTCCTGGCAATTTCTAGTGGCATAATCACAGGTAAGTTATTTAATTCATAGCTTCCTTCTCTGTTAAATGAAGGAGATAGTATCTACGATGTAGGGCCCTTGCGAGAATGTATGGAAAACGTTCAGCACAGAATCTGCCTCCAGGAAGCTGCGGAGAAAAGCTAGCTGTTGCTATTGCTCCGGATGTGCTGAAGACAGTGGCACACTGCTACACCCATAACCTCCAACTTGGCTCTTGTGGCCTACTTGGCCACCTAGGTCTCTGTATCTCCTTCCCTTAGTGGATGGATCCCAGATGTGGCTGGGTGAAGCATTACAGTGGCGGTGACCTCAGGGAGAGGGAGTCAGGCAAGAGCAGCTGGTAGAGGAGTTCATAATGGACAAAGGATGCTCCCCTTCCTTGTGAACCTAACATCTGAGTATCTGGAATCACTAGTTCTTAGAAATAGCTTTTCAAATTTTTGGAAGTTTCAAACTTTCAGAAGCAAATTTAATCAGCAGAGGTCTGAGCAAAGGAAGGATCACCTAATCTCTAAAATAGCCAAATCTTTAGATTCTCAGTGCCAGTGAAGCCCTGATTCTGATGGTTTGGAGCCAAGATTTAACCCACTGTCCCAAATCACAGAACTGTCTTTTCAAAGCACTAATATCCACTGAGGCTGGGGGAGGGTACAAGAGCACAAACGATGTATAAAATGTTTATAGTTTTTACTTGCAAAGAGAAAAGACCGTAGCTTCATGAGTCTTCAATGATCCCTTGAAACAAAATTCTAAACAAAATTCTAAAGGGCCACAAGTTAATAACTTAATTAAAAGTCTCATTATTTTCAATGTTAATACAAATAGCTGAGAGTGAGGATAGCTTTATTAAGGTGAAGAGGCAACCAACACGTGGTGAGATTTAGACTCAGAATGAATTAATTCTGACACTGTCTCTGCCTGGGTTTAGATATATATTAACTGGATCTTTTGTAAAATGCAAAGAATAACACTATCAAGGAGGTCCAAATCATGATTCTTCTTTCTTCTCTCTCCATTTTAAAAAATACAGTATGAAAAAAAATCACAAATATTTTTTAGAAAATTGAAAAGAAATGTTATAAACATTGTGGAGCAACCTATCACTAGCATAGCCAAGTAATTCATACTCCCCAACAATCTTTTAAAATTATGCCTGGTTCTGTTCTGAGCATTAAAATTGCTAAAAATTATAGGAAATACATTTTGACTTTAAATTTGTGTAAACTCAGACCTGTGATCTTATCTACATTATGTTCTTGAGATACAATAGGAGGTACTACACAGAGAGTACAGCCTGAAAAAGGGACAAATAAATGTATTTTTTCTTATTTAAGATCAACAGACCACACATTAGAGGCACATATAAATGTCAGCCAAAATTCAGATGCTATATCAATCATGCAACTGTTCATGTGAGCTATTAAGAACATTTTAAAGCATTAAAAACATACTGAAACAGTTCCACATTCATCTTTTACACAAAAACCATATATGCATTTCCATTTTATAGACAAACTGTCTAAGAGGAAGTCTCTGATAAGTCTTATTTTTAAATTCTTAAGAAAATGCTAAACATTGCATTCAACCTTGCTTGTTGACAGTGTCTGACCTTTTCATGCACTCAGCAAATGGCTGGATACTCCACTATTTCCAACATGACTGATTACATCTGTGCTTAAGAAAGCTATAGAAGGCAAAATTGCCTAGGGCTTTTCAATTTTTTGGTATTCCTTTAAGCACCAAAGTCTTTTCTGAAGCCCATTGTTAGGAGAGAATAAAGAAGCTGGGTTGCTCTGGTTGGAGTAATTGAAGGAAGAGCCCTGAATTCCTTAACCTCTTCACCTGTCCACACCTCCCTCACCACTTTAACAGTGATCTTGAGGCACTTCCACACTGTGGAGACTCAGGGCTCGTAGTTCTCATGCTAAAGCTCTATTGTACTATGATCTTGGATAAACTGTTTCTCATCTCTATCAAGTAAAGAGACGGGCTTAGATATGTTCTAATTTCCTCTAATACCATGAGTTTAGACCAAGAATATTATTAAAGCATTCTTTAGTCTCTTTTCTGAAGACAATCTGAGGCATTACGATGTAGAGAGTCGATTTTAACATGGTTTTAACTAAATAAGGCAATGCTATGAATAAATGCCAAATCCATGACTAACCATTTCTTTCTATTCCTATATCTAGCTACAACTTCAATCAAGTCTTATCAACAAATATTCTTTACATAAACTGTGTCTATGACTGGGGACAAGGGGTCTTCCTTCCAACAGACTCTGAAAGGTCCTTTTAGTCAGGATACTGGCTATACTTGAACCAAATTATTGTTATTGAAGTAGTCCTGGCTGCACTTTCACATTTATGTTCATGTTTTATGCAGGACTAATTTCAGGCTTGGTTCCAATGTACATTGGTGAAATTGCTCCAACCACACTCAGGGGTGCTCTTGGCACACTTCACCAGCTGGCCATTGTCACGGGCATTCTTATTAGTCAGGTAAAAACTCCTATTCCCTACTTCACCCATCCTCTATTTTATCCAGCTTCTCCCTCACTGATAGATCGACACAGTGGAAAAAACTACTTCCACCATTGGGAATAGGGATGCTATAGAGACTTAGGCTTTTTAGCTCAAAGCTAAATTATTACTGCTCCACTCCTCACTTCTCCCCTTGGATCTGTGGTGGGTTTGGCAATAGAGATGACCCAACATGCCAGGTCTTGAACTCCAGGAGCTAGTCTAGAATTAAATTATTATGTTCAGATTTCAAAGAATAGGAAACTTCACATTTTTGACTGCTTGGATTTCCTTTGTTCTGGGCACCTTGCCTAGAGAATTAATATGTATATGATTACTATAGCAGTTTTTTGTTCAGCTGGCTCTATCCTTCTCTTCTATCCCAAGGACTCAGAGTCCTCAGAACCCCTAACCTAGGATTATCCAGAGGGTAAGCCACTGCAATAAGGATGATAAATCTGGTTCTCACTAAAATAATTATTCTATCTTATGTAATCCCATTTTATTTTTCTGGGTAATCGAAGAAGAAATTTTTAGGGTCTAAAGTTACAACATGATTGTTGCTTTAGGTTTCAAATGTGTTCTTAAAAGTTTGGTTGTTTCCTATCCTAAATGACCCATATAAGTTAATGAAAATAAACCTCGGTGAACTCTTTGTAAAACACATAGTCCTGAATTTACTGAAGTAAGACACACTAGTAATAGTTTCTACTTTGGGCATATTTGAGTCAAAGTTGTCAGGGATTACTATTAAATAACTTTCAACAAATGGTTTCACTATTAAATAACTTTCAACAAACGGGTACAGAAGGCAGACCTAAAGTGTTGTGCAGTTGCCATGCTTCCTCCCTGCCTTTTCAGATTGTTGGCCTCAACTTTATCCTGGGCAATCATGAGCGATGGCATATCCTTCTTGGTTTGTCTGCTGTGCGAGCCATCATCCAGTCTCTGCTGCTCTTCTTCTGTCCAGAAAGTCCCAGGTACCTTTACATCAAGTTGGATGAAGAAGTCAAAGCAAAGAAAAGTAAGTCTGTGGATGTTCTTTTTTCTTCCTATTGTTTTGGAACTATCAGCTAATGAAAAACAGTGTGCATGAATGTTTACTGGTCAAGTTGGTACGGGCACTTTCTAAATGAAGTCAATGATTACATGTAAAAGGAATGTGCAAGATCACTTCAATATGACTCACACATGCCATTTCAAACCCACAAACACTTGACCCCAAATGGGAAACCCACATGCAGGGTATTGGACTCAACCAGAGGCTTCTAAAAGACTTTTACACGCATCATTCTTCTATGATAACAAAGATCAGAGTTTTCTTTGTCACTAGATAGAAGTCAAATGTTTTTCTCAAAATTTAAAAACAGGATCTAATTTTACAAAAGAACTGCCAACACTCCTGCTGTAAAGCAATAGAAAGGGCTATGCTGAGCTACAGCTCTTTCATTACCATAATAAAAATAAATTTACTTTTGTTTTGACCTGAGTTGTGTCGACCTGATCAATTTGTGGGCAGGCTTGAAAAGACTCAGAGGAGGTGCTGATGTCACCGAAGACATCACTGAGATGAGAAAAGAAAAAGCAGCAGCATCCAGTGAACAGAAAGTCTCCATAATCCAGCTCTTCACCAATCCCAGCTACCGACAGCCTATTCTAGTAGCACTGATGCTGCACGTGGCTCAGCAATTTTCTGGAATCAATGGGGTAAGTTTAAGAATACTTTCTAACTCCCTAAAATAGGGGAAGAAAGGGGCATAAATTAAATAGCTAAAAGGCATTTAAAAGTGTTGACATCATGTTTTACTACAAAAAACATATCGAGCATGAATTTTCTTTGTTTTGCCGCATCTGCTTTCTAAAAGTGGATTAGAATTTTTAAAAATGTCAATAATCAATGGTACTGTGGGTCTATTAAGATGGAAGGTAATAAGCAAAAATCATAATTAATTCAAAAGAGGGAAAATGAGAATAATTATGCCCCCCCAAAACACCCTAAATTACAGGGGACTTCTAGAGTTGAGTAGCAAATTTAGGATTTAGTCCATAGTTCCCTTCATCTAAGTATCATTATTATTTTTTTAAGATTTTATTTATTTGAGAGAGAGAGAGCATGGGGGTGCAGAGGGAGAGGGACAAGCAGGCTTCCCACTGAGCAGGGAGCCCGACGTGGGGCTCGATCCCAGGACCCTGGGATCATGACCTGAGCTGAAGGCAGACACTTAACCTACTGAGCCACCCAGGCACCTACCCTGTTTTACCTATGTAAGTGAAGTATACCAGGGCGCCTAGATGGCTCAGTTGGTTGAGCATCAGACTCATGATCTTGATCTTGGGACTGTGGGTTCTGGATTGAGTTCTGTGTTGAGCCCTGCACTGGATGTGAAGCCTACTTGAAAATAAATAAATAAATAAATAAATAAATAACACCAAATAGTTAGGTGCAAAGAAGTTTCCTGCCATGCAAGAAACTTTCACTCTATTTGAAGAGCCAGCATACAAAAGAAATAATAGTGTGAACTGGCATGACACTGGAGTAAGGGCAATAGATAACACATGATTGAAAACCATACTGAATGTATGTTTTCACTAGCTTTTAGGTTTTGAACTGAAATCATTGCATTACACAGACTAAAACTGTTCTACTGGCAATTAGCTATTAGAAGAAAAAAAGTAAACATTTGCTAAAAAAATACTAGATTTAAAAAATCACTTACCCTCTTTTACTGCTGTTAAAAATATGGTTTTGCCTTCCTCTATTATGAGCTAATCACAGATCCACAAGGGGGTGACTTGTGGATGGGCAGAGCCTTGGGAGAGGTAAAGAAAGTAATTCTTACCTGTTGAAACAAAAGGAGACCTGAACCTCACTCTACAAGCTGAATACTCTCTCCTGTCATCTCTATCCTCCTTTAATGGGTCCTTGATATCCCTCTTAATCTAACACTCTATGTAACTTCAGGGTTTGGAGACCAAATTTGTATCCTTTTCCCAGCTCTGCCTGTGTATCCAAAAGAACAATAGTCATTCTGAACCTCCCTGCTTTAGCTCCTATCGCAGTTCCTGACTTAGAGGCATCCAGGAAATGTTGAACTGAGGCTGTTGGGCAGCCTCAAAGTGCGGGATAGTGTGCAGTGTGCTATAAGCTACTCTTCACTGAGCACAATCTGTATAGTCCTTCTCTATTAGCCCTATCTGCAAGAAGAGGTGCCAGCACAGGACATGTTAAATGGGGAAGGAATGAGAGAGAATGACAGAATGGCCTTAAAAAGACCGTTATAGGGTGCCTGGGTGGCTCAGTGGGTTAAGACTCTGCCTTCAGCTCAGGTCATGATCCCAGGGTTCTCGGATCAAGGCCCACATTGGGCTCTCTGGTCAGCGGGGAGCCTGCTTCCTCCTCTCTCTCTGCCTACTTGTGATCTGTCTGTCAAATAAATAAAATATTTAAAAAAACATTATAAATGTAAAAACACAATTAATAATAAAGGCTACTAGAGAGATTTGAGGATTTCTCCATGTCCGCTGAGATTAGTGAAAAATTTTGGATTAAAAGCAGTAACAACCAGAATTCCTATACACATTGGTAAGAGTGTCAATTGACACAACTTTTCTGGAAAACCATTCATCAGTATCTTTCAAAGCTGAGCATATAAATACACTATGGTCTAGTAATTCTATTCCTAGATGCAAATGTGTACATATTTCACCACAAGGATTGTACTAGAGTGTTCATAACAGCACCCTTCATATTCATCCAAATGACAACTACCTAAATACCCATCAGTAGTAGACTGGATAATAAATAGTGGTATATTAATAAAAAAATATTAAGCAATGATAATGTACAGTGTACAAATACACACAACTATATGGATAATTCTCACAAAGGTAATGTTGAAACTAGATAGCAAATAATTCACACTGTGTTTCCATTTATAGCAAGTACAAAACTAGGCAAAATTTGTCATGATGTTAGAAGTCGAAGAGCTTCCTTGGAAAAATAGGGAGATATTCTGGGGGGTTCTGGAACACTGGGAATGATTTATTTCTTGATCTGTGTGCTATTTGCACAGGTGTGTTCAGTTTGTGAAAATTAATCTGTATACTTATGTTGTGTGTACTTTTTTGTATGTATTTTACACCTTAACAAGAGTTTAAAAATTAAAAAATATATATCAAGATAATGCAAATTCAGAGTTTTCAGCTAAATTTAAGGAGAACTTCAAGGAATCAGAAGTTTCGAACACTAAAGGTTGATATTGGTTTCTCACTGCCTGGAAGAAAAGGACAGATAAAATGTTTAGGGTGTTCTAGGGACTATGGTTCCATAGAAACTACTAAAAATAAACAACTTGAAATTTTCTTGCTTTCAAGCTATCAGTGCTAGGATTCTTGATTAAAGCTAAATTATTATTACTTTACAGATCTTTTACTACTCAACCAGCATTTTTCAGACAGCTGGAATCAGCCAACCTGTTTATGCAACCATTGGAGTTGGTGCCATCAACATGGTTTTCACTGCTCTCTCTGTGAGTTTATACCCCAGATAAATGCACTTTTTCCTCAGTTCAGAAATGGCGGAGGGAGGTACCTTGTGATCTAAAAGCAACCAGCGATTTATTGCTCTTGTGTATTGGGTAGTATAGAACTAAGTGGGTCATGGGAAGAGTCCTATATGCAAATAAACTACTAAGCATAGCTGAACAGATGGATCACTGCTTGTCCCCATTTGCTGGGATGCCATTTAGTCACTCATTTGTGAATTAATAACTGACTTGGGGCACAGAGGACTTCTTCCTTGTGTAAATAGCTGGATTCCTTTTCCTTTGCTCTCTACTTACATCTGTTGGGATCAGGTGATGTGTCATTTCTATCGATATTGGGTCTTCTACCTAGGTTCCTCTCTTTCCATGGTTGAAATTCTTTTTTATCCTGATGTCTTGGTAAAAACACTTTAAAAAAATAAGGCCCTCTGTAACATATCTATGCCTGTAACACGGTTAAACAGACTCAGCAAATTCTTACGATATTAGGTTAATGGAGAGAGCTTCCAGATAGCTCACAAGGCCATAACTTCTGGTGATGCATAAAACTGTGTGTGATATTATAACAGATGGAGTGGAAGTGGTATAACTTGAAATGTTATTACTTTTGAAATGTTATTTTTTTTCTGACAAGAAGAAAGGTCATATAGTCTTCTCAAGGCCAAATACCATATACAGTGAATGATTCAGTATCTTGACAATAATATTTAACATAAACAATCTAAGAATAGATTAACAATCTAAGAATAGAAACAAACAACAAAAAACCCCTAAAACTTCCCAACTCATGTAATTCACTCTAAAAATGAGGATATTGGGCTTATTTTTATCTTAGAATGCAGGATATCCAAAAAGCTTGTGCTTTCCAATGTTGGTCACCATGTTATATTCAATACACTTTAGTCACTTGTTTTTCATTCTCTGCAGATGGACTTTTAACTCTTACCTTAGGGTGGTCAATAAATTACAGCCTAGCTACCTAGATCAAAAAGCAGATTTGTCCAGACTACAGTGCTGGACCTTGGAAAGAGGAGGGAGAACAGATAACAAGGGAACACCAGGAGTTCTGTAGGCACGCTTTAGAGATAATGCCTGTTCAAGCCAAAAGGCCACTCAAAATCGATGAAGGCCTGCTACTGGGATGTAATCTATTCACATTCCTTTGTCTCCTGAGATATAGTCTTTACAAATCCTACTTCAACATATTTTTCTAATATGGAGATTATGCTTAAAATATTTTATATGTAACAGGATTTGGTATGTAAAACAACAAGTTGTCAAAATTGGGTAAACCAAATAGCAAATGCCTATAAAGGGACCTACTACAGAATTTCATTTCTGCCCCCCTACCCCTAACCCAGTTGGAGTAGGAGAAGTTGTTTCAAAAGTTTCTTGATTATTTTAAATATGCCCTTTTAGAGTTTATCCTTTTATTCTATGAAAGTTTTTGAACAGATGAGTGACATTTTAAAAATCAGCTCTAATCATCTGTCTAACCTTCCAGGGTTATAGATAACATTTAAAATTTTTAATTACATTTATTTTTGAAAAGTTGTTTTAAGGATCTAAAAGTACAAAAAGGATAGTCCTTCAGTCACCCAATTCCTCTCCCCTAAATTACCAATGTTATTGAATTCTGTGTAGCCTTTCCAATAAAGACACACAAATAGGAATATGCAATGATAAGATTTCACCAACTTGGAAGGGACATAATCAGTTTTTATTCTGAATGAGTATTTGGGAAAAGAAAGACTTTCCTAACTCCATGCTGAATTATGTTTCCACATTCCATATTTTCTTCCACACTAATGGGCCAGTAGAAGAGGGCCTGTAAACTTGAGGGAAAACAAAACAGGAAGAAATATGGAGGGAACAGGGACACAGATGGGTCTAGAGAAGAAGCAGTGGCATCCAGAATCTGTGTGATACATGTGTCTTGGGCAAAGACAAGGGTTCTGGTCAGGCAGACATCTCCACCCTCAAGGAGTGAGTTTAGAATTTATTATCCTATTAGTAAAAATTATTCAGAAACAGAGGAAACAGTAAAATTCCTCATTCCTGAAGAAATGCTTCTATTTTCTTGATAGCTTGACATGGTGTCATCAAGTCAACTTTGAAAGTCATACTTAGAAATTATATAGAGAAATGTTATGAACTTGGGCAAGAGGTGTTTTTCACACTACCTTCTCAACAGTAAGTGTGGGCTGTTTGTTCATCATCCTGAAGTGATCTGAAACCGAATATGTATTGTCTCTGAAATGAAAGGGGCTTTCATTATAGGGGAAAACAAATGTTTCAGATATTCTCAGAGCCAAAGCTCAAGGGTATTAGATTGCTCTTGATTTACTGATAGATTTATGAGCCAAGCCAATTTACTCATTGAAGTGAGAAATTATGACAGATAATTTCTGTGTGTGATTCACCAATCCTGGCAGTATCCCAAGGATCAAGCAAGAAGAGTCTATTTAACAAATATTGGTCTTGGCTAGTCATAAATGTTAACCATTAATGCAAAGGTCCACAGACCCAAAGGCATCAATGACATATCTCCTAAATTAGGATAAGAAAGCACTTAAAGCTTTTGCTTTAAAGTCTTACCTTTTCAAATGGATAATTCACTTCCAGCACCAAATACATTTAGACACACCAGAAAAATGCAGATCTATTTGGTAAAGTGATAAATTCTGTAAGTTGCCAGGTGAGTGGTTGTAATTTGACTGTATTAGCAATTAGAAAGTTGGATGAGAATGACTGACAACCCAACAGTTATACTATTTCAGGTGTAGGTTTTCTGCAGTGCACAAAACGTTGTACTTATAATAGGATAATTATCAAAAGATAAATTAATGTCCTTTTTTATGTAGAGCCATTTTAAATGTATAAGAAATCTACTGAAAGATACCTGAGATGTACAGGCTCTAATATTGTTCTCAAGTAATAATTGTAGAGTGATAGTAAGGTTATGGTTCTTTCTCCAGAATGGCGTGTTCAAATGACTGTGACTAAATGAAGCAGGTATCTTTTAATTATCACTGAGACCAGTTCTGCCACCTAAGGCAAGAGTCACCCACCAACTCAGTTCCACATCTGTAAAATGGGCTTATAGAACTGCCTCCTTCCAGCTGTATAAATTAAAATGACCTCTTTGGCAGTAAAAACTATTTAAGTCAGTATGTTTTTAAAACTTTCCCAGGTATTCCTTGTGGAGAAGGCAGGGCGACGCTCTCTGTTTCTAATAGGAATGAGTGGGATGTTTGTCTGTGCCATCTTCATGTCAGTGGGACTTATACTACTGGTAAGTGTAGATTTTTGCACTGAGGTATTTGGTTACCACATGATAGCCCTACTGTTCTCCAGGCTCTGTAAGTGAAAACATTTGAGGGACACCTGAGAGGCTCAGTTGGTTGTGCATCTGCCTTCAGCTCAGGTCATGATCCCGGGTCCTGGGTTTGAGTCCCTTGAGCTCCTTGCTCAGCGGGGAGCCTGCTTCTCCCTCTGCCGTCTGCTCCCCCTCTGTGCACATGCTCTCTCTGTCTCTCTGACAATAAATAAAATCTTTAAAAAACAATGAGTGTGACTTATGACATAAACCCAGAGGAACAGCACAGAATACAAGGGAGAAATGCAAAGAAAAGGGGAACTAGCTTTTGGGGTTTAAAGACTTAATTTTCACAAAGTAAACTGCACTTGTTGCCAAGGGAGGCAGTGTTGCAAAATGGTCAGAGCATAGTCTCTGGGGTCAGCCCTGCTCAGGTTCTAACACTGGCTCTGTCATTTGGCTACCTATGTGACCTAGGGCAAGTACACCAGGCCTTTGCCAACCCAGCATCTTCGTCCACTACTTCATGGAGGGTAATGCATCCTGTCTAGCGATCTTGGTAAGAATAGGAGCAAAGGTCATTAGATTCTTGCCTTGCTTCTATCACAGGAAAAGACTGAGAATCTTATAAAATCCTAATCCAGAGGATTTCCTCTAACAGAGTTCAAAACATTTAAAAGCATAACTCAGACATGAATAAACTTGTCTCAAACAAGAATAATTTGTAGTTATTTGCACATAAACATATCAAGAACAGAGCTATGTCACTTCTGAACTCACTGAGCCCACTTAGCTAAAAGAAGCAGCAGCCAATAATTCCAACTCCACTTCTATTTTCGTTTTGTTTTTTCCTCAGGATAAGCTGGCTTGGATGAGTTATGTGAGCATGGTAGCCATTTTCCTCTTCGTCAGTTTCTTCGAGATTGGGCCTGGCCCCATCCCTTGGTTCATGGTGGCAGAGTTCTTCAGTCAAGGACCACGGCCTGCTGCTTTAGCAATAGCTGCATTTAGCAACTGGACATGCAATTTCATTGTAGCTCTGTGTTTCCAATACATTGCGGTAAGCAGTCTATTATTGTGCATATTTGCTGAGTAGAGATGGAGTAGAACAGCTGCTAATTGGAACTCTGTTTGTTCTCTATGCAGAAATTCTGTGGACCTTATGTGTTTTTCCTCTTTGCTGGAGTGGTCCTGGCCTTTACTCTGTTTACATTTTTCAAAGTCCCAGAAACCAAAGGAAAGTCCTTTGAGGAAATTGCAGCAGAATTCCGAAAGAAGAGTAGCTCAGCTAAAGTGCCAAAAGCTGCTGTGGAAATGGAATTCCTTGGAGCTACAGAGACTGTGTAAAGATAACCTGCTTTTTTGACAAGAACAGAAACAGGAAGAAAGTTGTGTGTTTTTAATTGATGATTCTTTGAGAATTTTATATCCATGTCTTAAAGAATTGTTTTATTTTTTTAGAGAGCTTTTACGGGCTCTTCTCAGAAATGTTATAAAAAATTACCAAAGAAAGTATTTTTTTTAAGTTAGAGCATCTATTTTTGATAGTAAGATTCTATAATTAAATGAACCAAAAAGTCTAGCTTATTTTACTACAAAAAAGAGCAAGTACATTATAATGTTTGAGCTCTATTCTTTATAATGAGGTTCTCCTGAAATGGAAGCAGTTCCAATGTATCATGTTATTGCTTCATTAAGCACGTGACTGGAAACCTGAAGCTGCAGCTCATTTACATATTTGAATATGATTATGTTTGCATTTTCTTACCCACAGACCTCATACTAAAGGAGCTTTGGCTAGTGGTAATAAGGTCCATGTTAAAGTTGATAAATTTTCTATTTTCTCCCACTTAGCCTTTTCTTTATTAGAATTTTTATTTTGTTTAAAATTTTATTTTTTTCTGTCTTTTCATGTGGAATGGTTTATTGAGTATATTAAGATATGTTCATAACGAAAAACTTTTGTTTTTGGTAGGCTTACCAAATCTTCTGGGACTCAGAAAAAAAAAAAGTTAGTTCCTTTGCTTGATGACCAAATAATTCTTATAAGATTAAATACTGAAAAGATTTTTACCAGTCATATAGCTTGTTAATATTAATATCTATTATAATATCTATTCTATAATATCTATTATAATATCTATCTAGTCATATAGCTTGTTAATATTAATATCTATTATAAACATATGCTAATTCCTTGCTAGCTCAGTCCTCTGAGCTCTATTTTAGTTTGCTTTTAAACTGAGCACAGCCTGGTTTCCTCAGCTGTATATTTTATAAAGTACATTCAATCAGTGATTAAGCTGGGCATTTTTATATCTCCTCAAACCCTCAATAAGAACAGTCTGAGGGAAATCTGAAATAAAGGATTGCTCTGTTTGTTAAAACACATTATCTATTTTGTGTTTCAAGACAAGTTGAAAGAGTAGGATGTCAGAAATCCCAAAGATGGGTTCCTGAAAACTTCATGAATGCTCAATTTCAGACTTGATCAAAATCCCTATTAATTTTTCTGGTTAGATAGTCATTCCCTTTGATGTTCCTTCTTTGTCATGGCAGTATATGGATGCTATCTAAGCTGTTCTATTGCTATTGCTAACACTTCCTGTGTCTTATGTGCCGGGCACTGTTCTAAGTGCTTTTTTACCTATTAGGCAAATTGGAAATCCACAGCTGATTTAACAGACTTTCACTTATAGTCAATTTACAACTATGGAAATACAGTTCTGATGGATACCAAAGGCTTAGCAGGGAGCTAAAGTATCTCCAGGCTGTTTTCCCCACAAAGTGGAGCAGAGTCAATCCTTTTTGTGTTTGCTTTAATGTGGATAAAAGGAAGGTACTTTTTAAAAAGTACTTTCTATGTGTAGAAGGGGGAAAAAATGCTGAACACTTGTTTTTTCCCCCCCAGAGTGTTTTACCTTTCTATAATTTGGCAGTCCAGACAACATAAAATGATTTCTTTTCACTTTGCTTTTTATTCCCTTTGGACCAATTTGGAATAAATTATTTTTACTTAGGACTCAGGACACCGTTAAAGTGAGTTTAAATAGTTCAAAAGACTTTTGTGCCAGCTTGTGAACTCTAGAAAAATTGTGGAGACTCTGAATGGACAAGAGCAGGAGAATGGCTCCTGTGTAGCTCTTGTCCTCTTCTTCAGGATGCCTGTGGTCTTCGAGAAGCCCAAAGTTAAATGATAAAGAAGTTTAACATTTTTATAGGTGATGAATGTGATTTAATCAAATTGCTATTTCCAATCTCATTTACTAAGAAAATAAAGTAGTAAAAGTTTAAATAAAGAACCCAAAAGACCATTTTCAAGTTCTAATTACTTATTTCAACTAACTATAAACACCAGAAATTCATAGCCTGGAGTTTAATGCCTCAGAGAAATTGAAACCATTTACATTGTTTCCATTCCATATTTTTTTCCTTGCAGAGATACAAATGAGTTGAAAAGAAACCTTAAGGTGAAGAAACTGTTAAAGCTTTATAAGACAAAGGAACTATCTTGACATATAGAAACTCCCGGGTCTTCAATTGGATGAATCATAATAAAAAAATTGGCACTGATTAATTAGATACAATCGTAGGGAAATCAGATGTGAGTTTGAATAATTAATTTGCATAGTACTCTATTATTTTTGTGGAAGTCTTGTCATACTTTAATGTCCTACCAATGTGATCTTTCTTAGCTTATTCAATGCATGATTACAATTCTTGGTCTGGTCACTCGCCTGCTACACCTAGCTATTGCCCAGTCGTGATACCAGTGAAAGGATCTTCTCAGTGAAGAGAAGATCTTTCTCCTCTATGCAATCAGCAATGTGACGGCACTGAGACACGCGAAGACTCTGCCCCCTTCTCCCGCAAGGAGCTCACAGTCTAATAAGCAGTTCAGGAAGACCAGGAGATGAATGTCCCCATGTGTGCTTTTTGCCATCCATGAAACTTGATTTGAGGACCTTGTAAAACGGGCACAATAATATTATCTACCTCAGAGAGTTGTAGGGATTAAATATAAAGTGCTAAGAAGAGTTCCTGGTATAAAAGGAGGTGCTTAGTAAATGTTACCTAGAATTAGTATTCACAAAGATACTGCTAAAATAGAAGTTTGTCATATATATTGACAGTTCCAAATTTTTCTTTTCTTTTTAAATTTTTTTTATTTTTTTTCCAAATTTCTTTTGAGTACAAGAAATTCTGTAAATTCAAGATAACATTTTCTTATTTCAAGCAACAATTTCACAATGACAAAGGAATGGTAAAAAATAAGGGAGATTTTAGGCTATCTAATTCTTAAACCCAAACTTGATATATCCAAGTTGATTATGAGTTTTTATTTTATTTTTAAAGTTTGTTTTTACCTAAGTTATTTTTTAAAAGGTTTTCTCTATTTCTTGAATAATACTAAGTACAGGGTAAAATGCTGTATATTTAAATGCAATTCAATAAGATTATAATCACAAAGACCAAACCTTCTTGATAATCCTCAAAAACTGCAGAAGTATTATATACATGTAAACCAGTGTGCGTGCATAAGCTCCTTCTTGCTGGATTATAGCATATGACGCAAATAAGGCAATGTTAGGCAATATCTTGTGCTTATAGTGTCCTAAGCAGAGATGCTGAATAAAGTATAAAAGAATATATAATTTTTCATTACAATTCTATCAGTGACCTGAGAAGAAAAGATTTGTTACCAGCCACTCTAAGCCATCTGCTGGTGTTTTTTACTGCTTTCTAATTTGGTGTACATTAGAAAGAATCATTAAGAAAAGACTGGTTTTAGTTAGGGATATATATACACTATAGTTTTATGTCAATAAATATATTTCTGAATGCTTAAGTGTTGCTTTATTTTATATAAAAAATAACACATTTAAGAAAATTAATATTGGCTTACTATAACATATCCTTGTTTCTTTCTTATGGTATTGCTCCTATTCTCATTTTAAATATAACACATGAGTTACTTTTTAAATTCAAATTTTATTTCCATTAGGCAGTTGTTTTGATTGTCAAGAGTAGGAAAAACTAACCTGAAGTCTAGGTAAAGAACAACTGACTCACTTTGATAAAATAAAAATAATTCCTTCAGTAAATGTTTAGTTGAGCTCCCACTGTGAATAAGATACTTTGTTAAAATTTTGTGAAAGACACGAAACTTAGAAAACATTATCTATATGCTCAATCCCTTGCATTCTCATAAAAGGGATAAAAGTTTAAAACAAATAGTTACAGTATGAAAGAGAAAATAGAAAAAAACTGTAGTGGTTTTTAAGTTGACCTCTACAATTTTTGTTTAGCTGCAAAGGGTGTGATTTTTAAAACGATAGCATATAATGATATTTAAAAATTGTTGTGCTCTATTTACCCAATGTAATTTAAATACAATAGTAATTTGTTAATGCAACCATTAAAATACATATAAATAGAGAAATATACATATATATTAGCAGTTGGAAATTTTACTGCATTCTTTATTCTCCTATTTCCTTTTCATTTCCCCCAAAGAATTTTATCCCAAAAAACAAATTTAAATGCTTTAAAACAATTCTTTGATGATTCTGAGTTTCTGCAACAAAATTATCTATAATTTGAATATTTTTGTTTAAAAATGTCTCATTCAAAAAGGTCAAAATGTTTAACACTGTTTTCTGGACTGAGTTCGCATTTATGTTATTAGTAGTACACAAATGAAAAAATCTGTATTGCAGATTTTGATAGAATTATTAATTTTTAAAGTCATTATTTTAAATTTCATCTCAATAAGAAGCATGAGTTATTTATTTTTCAATCAATTAAAATATTAATGGATGGATTTTTTTTACTGTTAAAGAGTGTTCAGCATAAATTCTATTATTACACTGTATCATTACAGATGTATTAAAAAATTTTATTTTTGGCCACCTGGGTGTCTCAGTCAGTTAAAAGTCTATCTTCGGGAGCACCTGGGTGGCTCAGTGGGTTAAAGCTTCTGCCTTCGGCTTGGGTCATGGTCCCAGGGTCCTGGGATCGAGCCACGCATTGGGCTCTCTGCTCAGCGGGGAGCCTGCTTTCTCCTCTCTCTCTGCCTGCCTCTCTGCCTACTTGTGATCTCTACCAAATAAATAAATAAAATCTTAAAAAAAAATTTAAGTCTCTGGCTCAGGTCATGATCCCAGGGCCCTAAGATGGAGTCCCACATCGTGCTCCCTGCTTAACAGGGAGTCTGTTTCTCCCTCTCTCTCTACCCCTCCCCCCAGCTCGTACTCTCTCTCAAATAAATAAATAAAATCTTCTTAAAAAATTTATTTTCATAAATAATACTCTAGGAATGGAATATTCATTCCATAAAGTATTTCCAAATCATAGACAAAAACCACATAAAAACCAATCATAAAAATGTTTCTTTTTTTTAATTAAAAAAAGCTTTAGTAATCTATCAGCTAACAACTCCATTGACACTTCTTCTTGAATTTTGTTGTAATCAAAGAACTTATATTGTTGAAGGACTTGTTATCCAGTTGTTATAATCATTCTTCAGTTAGTTTCTGGGCAGTATACCGAAAAGATTTTATCAAGACTTAATAAAAGACTATTAATTATACTGCTAAATCTTTCACTTAGATGTAACTTGCTTAACCTGATATATTGAGAAGGAGTTGGGAGAAATGAAATACTAATTTCCATGTTTTCACATATAAAATAAAACTCTTCTATTTGATCACATGCCGTATTTACATCAAACCATTAGAGCTTAGATTTAGCTTGCTCAATTCATGGGAAATATCTATCATAAATAACTTAGTGGGCAAATTCAGTCCTCACTGTCAAATTAATTTTCCAAATAAGATTTACTTTCTATATGACTTAATTTTTCACTTCCAGTAAGTACCTTAATACTCATTCCTGTGACAGCTTTCATATGTTTGAATTCCGGTAATACCACATGGATACTTGCCATAAGTCTGTCTCCTCCATTTTGAACAGATGCTTTACATTCTGTACTTTTATGGGTCTTTCCCTCAGGAGCAATACACATTGAAAATAATTGGGTAAAGTCTGCTAAACAAAAGTGGTCATTATCCTGTTCTACAAAGCCCAAATTCAAAATATTCTAACTTGGGCCAAAATGTACTATTTCTGATGCCACCTTAATTAAGGTAGGCTTCACAGGTAACATTATTTCCAAGTATTCCTTTGTTTTGTATCTCTAAAAGTTTAACACTCTGGGGCAACACACCATGGCAAGAGTCAGGATCCACTGAGAAGGACAAGTATGAAAAGTGTTTGGTCTAATAAATATCAGGCACATATTGGGTATGAAAGTGTATGCTTTTGCCCATAATAAGAGATAATATTTCCAACTTTGGAAACAGTTATTAGAAGTTATTCACAAAATAAATGCTGGGATGGGGGCAGGGTACAGAATAAAACTAGAAAATCAGAAGATCCATCACCCAAACAATAGGAGTTCAAAAGAGAGGAAAAAACAAAATAGAGGGGAGCAAATTATTAAAGACACATTATGTTAGAATTTTGCTGAGCTGAGCTGAAAAACAAGATGAGATTGAAAGTTTATTGTGTGTCAAACACAATAAACAAAGCCCAGAATTTCACCGTGAAATTTCAGAACACCAGAGATTAAGAAAAGAAAGACAAGTCACATACAAAGGAACAAGAGTCATCACAGCATGTAATATGTGAACAGCAACTGTGGAAGCTAAAACGCTGTAGAGCAAAGCCTATAAAATCCTGAAGGACAACGATTTTCAACCTAGAATTCTCTCCCCAGACATGTTATCAATTGAGTGTGAAAGTAAAATAAAAATATTTCCAGACATACATGACTCAAAATTTTACCTCTTCTGCACCTTCTCTCATGAAACAAGTAGATAGTGTACTCTACCAAAACAAAGAAGAAAACCACAAGAGAGTAAGGTGTGGAATTCAGAAAAAGGGAAGAAAGGAAGATGAATCTGAGGACATAGTCATGGGTGAAGAGCTAGCATCAGGGCCAAGAAAGCAACTGATTAAACCTGAAGCAAGGAAAAGAATATTCCAGGGAAAAATAGAACTGAAAGATTCACTGATGTGTTTGGCCATATGAAGAATAATTTGGGAAATTTAGGGGAAAAAAATAGTGACAAACACATAGAAAACTATACAAATGAAGACATGGGGTAATTATGAATTTCTGGAGCTAGAGTAAGGTAGGGAATGGTATAAAATGGAAACATCATAGTACACTACTTGGCTGGGCAGTGAATAATTATTTACATAATTATGTAAAACACTGGATATTGCTATAATTTTTGTTTCAAAATAA